CATATGCTAAGAAGGTGCAGTCGGTTCTGCTGTTCATACGGATCCAGGGGCGCTCAGCCAAGGTAGGCCTTCAGCAGCATGGCAGAGAGCAAGAGAATAAAGGGGGCATGCACAGAGACAAAAAGCTGCTTCACTCCGTTGGCCACTGCGAAGGCCTCGGATACCGTCTCGTTTTCAACAACGAGCGCCATGACCCTGCCGAGGAAGCTGACACACCATGTGAGCGAAGCTCTGAGCATAGCCGAATTTCTGCATGACTTTTCGCCGTCTGTCGCGATTCACTGCATTGAAGGCTTTCTTTAGGTCCATGGAGGTTATGTAGAAACGGGTGCGCATCTCTTGGCACTTCTTCTGCAGTCGTCATGTGACGACGATCAAGCCGGTGGTGCCGCGATGTCAACGAAAACCACACTGGCTTTCCGGCAGGAATCCTTCCTCCAGGTGGTTGTCGATGCAGGTCAGGAAAATACGAGCAACTATTTTTCCGACGATCTTGAGCAGCGAAATCCCTTGGTAAACACCGCAGATTTGGTAACTCCCTTCCTGCTTGTACATGTGGATGTCTGCGGCGTCAGTGAACTCCTGGGGCACGGGCCTTTGCCGTATTCATAGGATGCAGTCGCTATGTCATGGCCTACCTACGAATATTAACAGCTCTTAACTTCGCCGATGATGCTCGGTCTTTGGTGCGCTAATTGCTTTGTGGCCGGCATGCGCGTCGTTATTTATTGAACTTTAATCACCCGTGTTGTAAGTTAGCGTGATAAGTACTCGGCCGCCTGGTTCACTGGCAATGGAGTTCTGTGCGCTCCACTGGTGGTGTATTGCTTTGACAATGCATTTATTCATCGAGGTGGGACCCATGAACCATGACCAAAGCTACTCGCGATTTATGCGATTGTTGTAGAAGGTGTGTCTATGTGCTGCCTAAGGATTTTGATTGATTTAAAATTCTGATGTAGCAGACAAATGGAGATTAACGCAGCCATCGTTTTGGAATTGAATTTCTTCGCAGCCTTCCAGGCCGTACTGCGTATTCGCCCACTGCAAGCTGGCAGACCAGCTTAAGGAGGACGGTGAGGACCCTAACGTTACGTAATTATTGAATTGTCCAAAAATTTTTTTTAAAACATATTGAGTCGCACGCAAACCAGAAGCTACCCTAAGACGTCAGATAATGAAACTGAGAGATCGACTACCACGGCTAGGAACAGCTGGAGTCGCCTTCAGGATCTGGTGAAGTTACAAACACAGCAACTACGTCGGAAAAACTGGCGGACTTCTCAGGACGCGAATTGCCGAACACATGGCAACAGTGCGGAGAAATGACGCCAATTATCAGGTTGCGGCTCATTCGACGAGACTCGACCACACATTCAAATTTTATCAGGTTAAAATTCTCACCAGAGGTGACAGTCGTGTGAACCGCGAATAACTCGAGTCATTGTTCACGGCCCCCCAGGATATAAGCAAGTGCAACGACCTCTCCAATCCATATTTGGTGCTGAGGCTCAGTTGAGCAAAAGCATATTGCCACTTGGGGATTACATAGGTCAGCTAGTCGCCTGAAGCTAGCGCCAGGGCGCTAGATGGCCGTGCAATCATCACACCTATTCTACCACATGTGATGAAAACTCAGCAGATCGCGGCCCGCACTCTGGCCATCAAGCAGTTATCGCACAAACGGCAATTATCCTCGATACAGGAGCCGTTAATTGTCACAAGTGTGCATGAGCATAGTGACTGTATTCTAAAAATTATCTAAGTTGTAACGTCTAAATAGTGTTAATACTCGGAGCACTACAATAATCAGGCCGAATAGCGGCTTGTAGGCAAAGACAGAAGGCACCAAAATGAGGGATTTATAGTGCACGGTATCCTGAGTTGCTGGTTCAGACAGCAGTGGTCACTGAGGAAGCCAGGAATAATGTGTCGTGAGGCAACGATGAACTGAAGGTGATAAGCCAGTACACATGCAGTTAAGAGAGCGTTCGTCGAGTGTGACAGTAGTTGCTAGGAGCGGAGTCCAGGCTGAGGATTACGACCTGTGTTGGAGTGCAAATAGTGCATCAGATGGAGGATGTGCTGGCGTGGTCTCTTCAACGTGTACCGGTGAAAGGAAAGGTCGTGTGTGACACAGTGCATCCCAGTGAAAGCTGAGCCAGGCGAATCCTTCAGTGAAAAGTTGAACTGTCGTCTGTACTTGACGATGAGCAGAGTGCAAAGTGCCTCGAACGTCATAAGGTTAGGCGCGTAAGTGAGCTGTCAGTCAGAGGGATAATGAAAGAGCATGCCAATGCCAGGGGTAACAACGCTGTTCAGAAAGGAGGAAAAACACACGGTTTTGGCACGGTTGGAGAACTGCTCTCAGACTACTTTGCGGTGATGACCTGCGTTGACCTGTGTTGACCTGTATGGCTGAATAACGACGTAAATTTCTGTTTATGACCGAGTGTCGGTAACAAAATTTCCCTATCCGTGGGCACGATGAGTGACGCAGTACAGTAAATTCGAGTTGGAAACTAGTGAGAATGGTGCAAAGCCATATCACGAGGTTGCTTGTTAAATCACACTGGGGTCACCAATTCGTAGGATCTCCTCAGTTGTTGTATTCGGAGCATTACAATTATAACGCCGAATCCCGGGTTGCTGGAAAAGACAGAAGACAATAAATTGGGTGAGGTATTGTGCACAGAACACCGAATTGCTCTCTCAGGCATGATTGGAAAAATTCAACACTAACACTGGCTTCGCCAGTAGCCACTGCAGCCTAAGACAGCGACCTACGATTCTGTGCACAATAAATCCCTCATTCTGTTGTCATGAGATGCTGATCAGAATTCTGTGATCAAGTCGCCGATCTTACACAAATAACTAATACGCAAAGATAGCGTACCACAGAGAAAGCACTCAGCGCGTGCTTGTAACTCAGCAGTGCAGATATTATTCCTAGCAAAGCGTATTTTTGAATAATTTGCCACTAAACTAGAAATATAACAACGGTTCAGCTTATCAGAAGGAGAAGTGGTGATGGCTGGAACAAGAGGTTTTTTGGCCAGACATTTCGAATTGACGCTGAATACCTCATCATCGTCAACCACTATCTGTTCAGACTATCTTATGCGTGTTTTCTCCACATACCCGTACTCAGAATTAATAGGGCATATGCTAGGGTTACTTTTGAATCAAAATGTTTAACTTATAGGGCAAACCAATTTTACATATAGACCAATCATTAAGGCGAAAGCATAAATAAAACTGCAGTTATGTGTAAAGTTCTTTTATGCGCTGCCTTTTTAGACACTTAGTAAAAAATTGCACCTTCAAATGGAAACCAATCGGCCAAATTCTTGCCCAATGCCAGGTCGACGCTGTTGGACGGTCAGGTTAATATGTTTAATTTCAAGGAAAATTATGTTCCCTTCGAGGGCCCGGACGAGTGAAGTATTAAGGAGACTATGCGTTGCTTAAATCATGACAAGGGTAAGTAGATCGAAAAGTGCCGAATAATTGCAATTTCCTGAAAGAAAGGGACGAATTGACAGTAAAGTCTCTACCTCATGAAATTTCAACCGAAATTCTAAAAGCTGTTCGAGATTCGATAAAATTACTTGGATGGAATTGCAATACTAATTTGCGTACAGCGTAGTACCAAGATATTTCAAATACACCGAGACGTTGGCTTTTGAGCGAGCTTCTTGTTGACCACCTAAACAGCGTATGTTCTGCCAAAAATGGCAACTTACGTACTACGTTGTTTTCTTTTTTTAATTTTCAATGGCCCTTTATATTCAAATAGACTTTATAATTAAAATACACAAGATCATTCCTTCGTGTACTCGTTTGATAACAAAGTAAGCCCTCTTCAAATGTTACACCTGAAAAAGGTAACCATTTGGTATTAAATCCATTCTGATTATGAACGTTTTTACGACCGTGCAATTTTCAGTCATAGTACATCGTATCTGTCAA